TGATTATTGGGCAAATAGGCCACGATACGAAAGTGACTCTCAGAGCTCGGCCGGAGGAAGTGGAGCATCAGGGAGCTCATCTAGCTATAGCAGTGGAGCAGGAAATACCACTACCCCTTCTGCCACACCGAGCTCGTCCGCTCCCTCTACTGCTACGACTTCAGGCCAACCCTCCAACTTTGTCAGAGCCCCCGCCAGGCAAAATACTGGTGCATGGGGTGCATTTGGTGATGGCGCGGATGAGCCTGCTCCGCCTCCTTATACTCTTGAAGCCATCGAAGAAACCCCTGCGGCTGCCACTCCTTCGGCTTCAAACACAACCACCAGTCCAGCGACCAGCTCGGCCTCTCCTGTACTTACTCAACAACAACAATCATCTCCCGTATCAACCTCTACTCAACAATATCCCTCACCATCAGCAGGTTCCCCGTCTGTATCACAGGTCGGGGTCCATCGACATGCGTCCTACTCTGTCTCCTCAGGATCGCCAACACCTTCAAGTCAAGGAGCAACCGGTTTGGGTCGTGCTACCACATATTCAGCTCCTTCAACCCAGCCTGCCACCTTCGTAGCTCAATCCTTTAACCAACCGACAGGTGGGTCACCGGGTAATCCCTCCTTGTACAGACCGCCTGTGCATCCTTCATCCCCACTTGCAGGTCCAGGGGTGAACAATTGGCCTACTGGGACATCCACACCACCGGTATCTTATGCCCCTTACCAACGAAAGGACAGCACTCCGTATAACATTCCGGCAGGACAGTCTCCCAATGCCTCCGTATCAAATCTCTCCCAGAATTTCTCTCACAATATGAATCTTGGCCCGAGTGGCGGCAGTCCTAGCACTGCTAACACGCATCTGCCCCAACACACGGCACATTACGGGAGCGCATCCGGGGGTCCCTCTCCCCAACCCATGAATGCGCCCTTACCGTCACCAGGTTCGGCTCAACCATCGGCTACCTACATTAATACAAATGTACCGCCTCAGAATCCGACTCCGAATGCATCCGGAGGGTACTTTGGGACAACCACTTCGTATGGTGCTGGTGCTCCTACCGGTGCATATTCTTCTGGAGTCGTCTCAAATCCAGCATGGACACCTGCTGCAAGTTCTCAACCACCGACGATGAGCAATCCACCCTTTGGCGCTGCGGTTAATAATAGCAACAACAACAACGCCAGCCCGAGCGCCAATCTATACCCTGCGACAACCTCCACGCCTTCTCCTAACGTGTCACCTTCAGGTTTTGCGCCACCCACTGGCCCTCCACCTTCTTCGGGATACTCTAATCCAGCATCAACAATAAACACTTCGAATCTGTACTCTGCCCCAACGACAGGCCCTCCTCCACAGCAATCTGGGAGTTCTGGGCCGTCATTCCCTCCACCGAATTGGGTGGTGCCCAA